GTTGTTTGGCCACAAACTCATGCTGTGCTGCCAAACACTGTTCAAACCTACATAGCTTTATATTAAACTGTAGTGTAGATGCCAAAGTTTCAAAAAATACCAAATGTCAGATGACATTTTGGGGAAATGGATATAAAATGATGCACGCAACATCAGTTTGATGGAATGCTGCATGCTTAAAAACACATGGATTCTTGGGTACATGCAACTTCATATGCACAGTACACAAGGTCATAGAGTGGAATCCATAAAGGTACTTAAGGGGAAATAAAACTGGAGAACTGGATATTAAGTTAGTTTTGTACCATGTTATTGTGCTGATACCAGATCAGACACGTCTAACACGGAGCATGGCTATAATTCTGAACACTCTCATCTGTAAAGTCCTAACTGCACAAAACCTGTGTGAGCCTCAGCCTCAGCTCACATGCCATAAAACATTGATATGATTCATCTTCATGTCAGTTTCTGGGCAATTGTTTCCAAATGTTTCTTAAAGCGCCATTATAACATTCCTATTGTTATAAAAAATATACATAAAAATAACATTTTTTTTTCCAATATCAGCCTATACACTTGATCGATTAAGTTTTAGTGATAAGACCCCTCTTAAGCTTTCAATTAACCTACACTTAATTAACCTTCTACATAGTTATGGAAGTGTTTAACAAAGGGCAGGGTTGACTTTCATTAATCAATGTTGCCTCATTTTTGTCAAGTACACTGTTCCCCACCTTGCAGCTTGAGCACTACGGTCATCTTATCAGACCTCTATCTGACAGGTGGTGTTTCTTTTATCCAAAGTGTTTTCACCCACAGGACTGCAGCTGACTGGGTGTTGTGCAATGTTCTGTTCTGCATGACAAACTCAGGGAAAGCAGCCATATCTGAAATACATGAACTGGTGAATTTGGCCGCAACGTCTACACCAATCAGACCCGGAGATTTAAACGGATTTAAAGGATACTGTCCATTCAAATCTGAGAAACATGACCCTCTTGAACTTAATCTTTCATTTAGACATGACTCGTGTCTAGTGACGTTGAACTGGTTGCATTGATTGCAATATGTGTGTGTGTGTGTGTTTGTAACACCTGCTCTTGTTCACTAAAGAAAGGTCAGAGTGCAACCCCTAATGGCTCTACTGCTGTGCTGCTTATTCCCTTAAGAGGTGGTCAGTTCTTCAAGCTGAGCCTCCTACTCAAGAGATGGAGTCCAATCTACACCCACACAGACACACAGACACACAGACACCCACCCACAGACACACGACGACCCACACCCGACACTCACGACACACACACACACACACACACACACACACACACACACACACACACACACACACACACACACACACACACACACACACACACACACACACACACACACTTACTTCACCATCATCACCACTTCCACCAATACAACACACCCATCTATCTTCCTCCCCATCTTCTTAAATAACCAATCAAGACCGCTATTTAATCACTCATGTCCACACTTAATGGGTCCTGCTAGATTAATGGAGGCAAAGCATACCAACATACATCAGATGCATCTGGGAAAACAAGTAAAACAAGTTGCGGTACCACATCCTGTCAACTCTCTACAGTGATAAAAAAAGTTTAAAAATGGATTTAAAAAAAAAAAAAAAACTTCAGCGTGATATGAGGAAAATCTCTCAAAGCACAGATCTTATGGAGAGCAGCACCTGTCTCATGTCATTTAGCCCGTACTGCCCTCTAGTGGTGTACTAGCACTTATTTAAACCACAGAGAAAACACTATATTATAATGTATAGGTCAATAGTATTGACCTGTACATTTTACCTCAGCAGTCATACTTGAAATGACACTGTTCTTAAAAATTCAGCTGACTGAACTTGACTTTTCCAGACGTACTGTGTAGCTGTTTCAGTGTATATTTCCTAAGCAGCTATTGTGTGTTCCTGAATGTTGTGTATTATAATTTTATCATGCATTTTGCCTTGCTTAAATGTTTGCCAATTTAAAAAGTTTGCAAAAAATATTTTCTTAAAATGCACCATTGGTCCTGTCCTCATACATATCTCCATATTGTATATTCTAGATTATAGAGCCAAACCATGACAAATTTAATAAACAGATAATCTAAGACATGTGCTTTTCCTACTATGACAAGTTAAACTGTCACCTGGTAGAAGTGAAGCGGTCAAACTTGCCTTGCACAAAGAGGTTAGCCCAGTATTACAGCCCAGTAACCCGCACCCCCAACCACACCCAGCAGGAAGCTGTTAGAGAAGTTCAGCCTATTCTATATTTTGTTACTGTGAATTAATGTAGTTGCAGCAAGATTCAAGAGCAACCTACTTTACATTACTTTACCTAACACAAGCAAGGCAAGTCAGATAAAAGTAATTCAAAAATGATTTATCTTTTTTTTGTACATTTTAACTCACTTTAAAACAACTTTAATTAGAAAACAGTAACTGTCCTTTGGTCCTCGTAAACCTCATAGTGTACAGCGAATTCAGCAGCACCATCCAACAGCCGTCACAAGAAACAAGACATCCAGTCCTGACATCAACGGACAATCCTTTATACAGTCTCAAGAAGGAATCTGCCTTCCACCTCCAAAATTCAGGATTAGCAAAGGAGAGATTCTCAAGCTCCTCTCAGTAAAGTCCATTTACGGACAAAAGCAGAGGGATCAGTCACTCTTCTCTCTCTTCTCTCTGCGGGCCTTTCGCTTCAACTGGAGGGTCTTCAGCTCAGTCATAGTGGAAAAGGTCCTGTACACCCACACCATCTGTAATTATGTAACACACACAAACATACACATGAACAGATGTTATGTGTGGCATACCTGCTGTTGAATAGTGCATATAATATTTGTTTTGATCTGACAAGATGGAAAATAAACAGTAAAACTTACCACAATGATGACTGTATTGAGCAGAAGAGGAATCGAGTAAACCAAAGATATGAACATGCCCTTGGAATCAAAGTACTGGAAATTGGAAAAAGACCTGTAAACAGCAATAAGAGTTAATGAATATTTGTTGAATACAGCATGTGTAAACAAATATATATATATATATGTGTGTGTGTGTTTGTGTGTGAACAAAGCAAGCACAGCTTCTATACACACATTATTTCAAACATTTTCCTAAAATACTGCTGAACAATGGTCTTACCTCCAGTTCATAGCTGCCAGTTCATTCAGATATTCAGCACTATACACCATGCCAACTGTGGAGAGAAGTCATGTCAGTCTGGGAACACTGAGAAGTTGGATCATATCATCATGCACACTCAGCATCAGGTCTCATTTACCACTGTTTATTAGCTCTTGTGGTGACTGATCCAAACAAGATATACAGGACGCACTGTTACAAATTCAGTTAACTGCTGTTTTTTATCTGTTTGTTATGTCTGGTTTTTAAAAAAAAAAACTTTTTTTTTTTTTCTTTTTTTTTTAAAGCTTTATATTTTCATCCTCATTATTTCTCTAAAATCAATGAGAGAAAATATCTGTAAAATCTCTGTGGACATCGTAGTATCGAGTACATATGCAAAATTACCATTAAAATAACACAAACAGCTATGCACTGGTGGTCTATCTAAATATCACTTGAAACTGGCATAAAAGAAAAATGTGTTTCTGTGTTTTAGTTAGTAGGTCTCTCTGAAAGCATATGCCAAATTTGATAAGTAGCATCTAATTCAAATTAATTGATTTGCAAATGCATTTCTTTTATGCATTTTAGTGTAGGCTAGCATACTGTATGTAGCTTTCTACATGTGCATAGTACAATGAAATTCTTAATCTGCAAAACCTCATCATCAATCACCAATCATTACATACTGTAAGTAGAAGACACAGGACATGAATAACAAAATGCAACGACACTGCAAGAAAAATATATGTTGCCATGTCAACATGAAAACTCTGCAGATGAAAAGTGAGTGCAAAGAGTCTGTGCAAATGACAAAGTCTAATAATGTCTAATGATGGTATTGTCAATCAGCAGTTTATATTGGTAAACGTACCCATGAGCAGGAAGTGACAGATCTGAGCTCTGTAGAACCTGCAGGTCACCACCGTCAGAAACAAACACACAACATGAAACACCAACAGCCCGATAAGCCAAGGCTCCGACCATTGCACCTACAAACAGTAAAAAAACAGCAACACAGTCAGTAGCTGTTAGAAGAAGTGTTTACTGTTACTGTTCCATGAAATAAAACGCTACAGACGTCTACCTCTTCTAAAAACCAACGGGGGTCGATCTGCTAGCTGTGGGAGCTAACGCTACGCTTCGGGTCATATCTTGCTAGCCCTTAGAATCAATGATTAAACTTTCTACTTACAGACATGAGAAACGTCCATATTGACGTGATTCGTAAGTTGCTGAAGCCGTCGACGGGGATGGAGCTAATATTTTCTGCTTTCAGGTCCGTCATCTTCAGAAAACACTGAACTGACGGCTGACTGTACTTCAGCTCAGCTCTCAGGTAAACAAGACAAGACTGCGGAAGTAGCTCTTCTGTCGCAGTCGAAATACGTCAGCAAGAACACGACTCTACATTTTTATTTTCATCACAGAGACAAACGGGTCTCAAACTACAATAACATAGTTAACTAAAATGCTTATTTAATATTCATTTTACAAAGTCTACTGTTCATTTAAAATCATAAAGAAAGCCTTGAAAAAATTGCTTAGCATTTGACCATTTTTCTTTATGAATATGATATTTTTCAACTAAAATGCACAAATGAACTACATATAATAGGTCTTCTATCTTTTATGTCGTCTTAAAGATAAAACAACATTATAGATTTTTCTTACATTTATAACAATCCCAGGTGTCTGTCTCTAAATATGTCGAAAACATCCTGGACTAAACATAGTAAATGAATAAGCGGGTGATTATTTCCTAATCCAGTCCACAACAATCACACCTGCGATCCAAATTAATTTGAAATCTTTCAAGTATGGACTGATCTTGTCTGTGTGTTTGACATCTTGTTTTTTATTTTTTTTTATAAAGCTACAGTATTCCAAATTAGCTTTGTTCTGCAGCACATTTTACATTATACTCCAAATTAGTATTATCATCACATACAATATCTTTACAACTCAACAAGCTCTCAGATGTACAAAATCACTCGAATCACTTGGAACCTCACTATTATTTATATTCTGAACAGAGAACCCTCTTAAACTTGCAGTCCACAGTAATTTAGCCATAATCATCATTATCCAGTCATTTGAAGTCTGTTGTTCATCTCAATGCCTTGTTTTGACAGTTTGAGAATTGAGAAATACTCTTGAGATGAGATCAGTGGTTCAGTTGTTCCACTCTGAGAGGAGGGGCAGGGGGTGGCCTGGTTTGTTTCTCACTGTGTGCGCCCACATCCTTTCAGCCTTGGTGCTTCACTGATGATCATTTCAGTCTTTTCTGCCTGTAAACCCCTTTAAGCAGTATCTGCCCCGATTCACTTCATCTGCAGCTACAGTAAATACTCCAACATAGCCCTTCCTGTTGTGCTGTAGATGCCACGTTAACACATTATCCCTCTGCACACATGCAAACACCAACTAGATGCTTAGTAAAAAAATAAAAATAAAAACATTCTCTAAATGAAAAAAGGCACATGCATTTTTCAGTATCTAAGCTAGCGGAGCACAGAGCAATTTTACAGCCTCTGTCTCTAATAATATGATATTAAAAATGCATTCTTTCTGCAAATATGGTTAAAAATTGGGCCATAGTATATATATCATGACCACACATTATGATCATCAACAACTTTAAGATTTCAATATCAACAATTAATAAGATCAGAAATATGTCTTTTATTCACAGAAGACATTTTAATATATCACAGCAGGAAAAGCACAGGTGTGAAACAGTTTAATAGAAATGAGCCATCCTTAGTGTTATGGGTAACACCTGTCCTATTCCTACTATGGCAAGTCAAAATGTCTGCAGTGAAAAAGCCCTATTTTGCAAAGAAATACCTTTATAACATATTTGTATACATCAAAATCAACATATGAGTACATTTTTTGATTAAATCTTGTGGAGACATGTAAAAAAAAAATTGAATTTCAAATACACAAACATTATAAATATCAAAAGGCTTTGGCCAGTGTCCTTGTTTACACTTGTAAAGAAAGTGGAGGAGATTCATGCAGATCAGCTCAGGTCCTGTTTCTGCCTGGGTGAAAGTCAGGGACAAAAGTAGCTGCCACCGTGATTGGAGTAGAGTAGCCCAGGGCAAAATGGTATAGGCCAAGCATTAGACACTTCCAGGTGGAGCGCAGTGTCTTGCCAACATTCTGAAAGACAACCAAACAGCCTTAGATTAATTATGAATTCTGTAGATTTTAACAGTAATTATTACAAATCTGTTCAGTCATTCAGTGCAGGATGTAAATTAACATGGATCAAAGCTGAGTCACCAAGTGTGTTTTGCACCAGATGTGATCATTTACTTTTCAAAACTCGCACACAATCATGTCATAATCATTTTTATTCATATAATATTCAAGTGATAAATAATGCTCCAAAGCTTTTTCAATGATTGTAACAGAATTAGGTCAAAGAAATATTTTTTCATGATTTGACCGGACATGATCTGAGACAGAATCAGTTCAAATCAGTTCAAAGTAAAGCCTGCATATTTAATAGTTTTAGAACAATAGCACAGCAGGGGGAGAGGTACAGTCTGTCTTTAACCCTAAGATGTAAATAAGGAGTCCCGTGAACACTATTGTCTCCTGTGCTCTCGGAACAGGAAAGGGCTGTCCGGCTGAAGCGGATACAGGAAGTCAGGTGTTTTAGAAAAATAAAGCAGAAACAATCCCACTTCCTCAATACAGTATGTAAATATGACTCTGTGCACCACTTGAACTGATTTATTTAAACTGATTACTGAACCAACTATAATGCTAATTTGAAACAGGATACTGTATATAGGCATAATAAGAGCTTTGAAAAAAAGCTAGTAAGTGGACCTTGAGTTAAGAATATTTTGAAAAAATATTTCAAAGTCAAGAATGAACTTTAACACTCAAGTGTCAATAGCAGCCTGTCGCTCTTTTATGATTTGTTTACCTGAAATTCTTCAGCGTGTTTTCACAGATTTATGTAGGCCACGACTGACTGATGAGAATCTGGTAATGTCCAGTATAAACACACGTGCCTGGACACTGATAAACGTACTGTAGTAATGTTGTTTGAGGTCACATTCCATGAGCTATTTCCTTATATATCTCACGTGTGTATGGGTTATAAAGCAGTTCATCCGGTAAACATGTTGTCAAGGGGACCCACCTGCTCATGACAGTAATTACCCGAAAATGATGATTAACTTTCAGTAATTTATCTTGATCACTTTAGATAAAGCTTTGTATCTGAATTATTTTGAATCAGCAGTTTCAGTGGCCCAGTAGCTTTGCAGTTTTTCAATAATTAACAGTGTATGCAGTGTGTCATTTCAATGAGGCTGATTGATGTCATATTTAAAAAACAAGAAAAAACAACAACTGCAGTACATAGTTCAACTTACCCTCAATGAAACTGCAAGAAAAGACACACGTTTCAGTTAAAAACTTTAAAAGTCTCATCTCGTCAGGATCATATTATCACAAGTATCACAATATTATATTCACTGAATATTAAGCATTTCAAACAAAATCAATGAAATAAGCAGTGCAGAGAAAAACCTTGTTTATTTTTTCTACTTTTATATTTAAATACAATCGTACTTCCTTTATCTGTGGATAATATGACTCACCAGTGGAACTGAATATTATTCCTATACACCCATGTGGATATGCATCAGTTTGGCAGTTGAGTCTAATACCAAACTAGTATAATATAAATAGTATAAATATAGTTAATGATTAACAGCAGCAGTTTATGATTTGTTTACCTGACTTTTAACAGCATTTATTCACAAGGAAATCTGATAAACTGATAAAGATTCTGTTAGTGTTCGATATAAACACTTAATGTTGTTTGAGGTCACACAATGAGCCATTTCCTTATCAATCACGTGGGTGTATGGGTTACAACAGAAACTGTGTTGTAAACAGACCACTGATGTTCACAGAGGAATCACCTTATACCCTACAGACTTTATTATATTTCATCTTAATCAATAGAAGAAGTGATCAGGTAAAGCTGGATCACAAACATACGTCCAGGTACAGTGTAAAGTGATCGGTGCAGGAAAGAGTTAGGACAGTCCAGGAAACTGGAAAGCACCTTTGAGTAGCACTGTGTTGACCTCTGTCTCCTCTGCCATGCACCAGCAGACAGAGACCAGAGATGTGACACATATGAATCGCTGGCTTTAGTCTGGCTGGGTCAACATGAGCCCAGAATTTAGGCCAGCAGTCCAAGATGGTGCTGGGTTGCCAAAAAGAACAAAGCTGTAATATTTGTGATAATTGGGATAGACTGGGATAGAAGCCGATCATGTGTAATTTTAGGTTAATGACTTTTTGGTGATCTTTGAACTCTAAAACTGTTGTGAAAATAAATACATTTGATCAGTAATTACCTCAATAATCAGAAACCTAAGCCTGATTTTTATGGGAAAATTGAGATGATTATGCAATTAGAGCACAGAACTCAGAACCAAAACAGTACATGTGTGTGAATCACATTTTTCAGGATAATTTATAGCATGGTGGTGACTGACAGTTTTGCAGTTTTCCCAGTAATTAAGAATCTATTAAACAATTTGAGGCTGATTAATGCCATATTAAAAACAATTGTGATTCACATTTTAACTTACCCAGGTCGAAGCTACAAAGAAAAGACAAAAGGTCAGGGGATGTTGGATTTTCATAAGGCTACTACCATACCATCAGAATGCGCACACTGCATTTGCAAGTTCATAGTTATTGGTAATGAACATTTTAAGAAAAATGTGAAAAAGGAACACCAACCTTCTTTACTTTTTTGTATTTTTCTTTCTTCTTTTTCTTCTTCTCTTCCTCTGTCTTGACTTGTGCCTCATCATCCGTCAGTGGCTCATACCTCTCTGACAGAAAGGCAAAGTGTATTTCTCTGTGGCTCTTCTCATTTTGTCTGCTGTTGTCTTCCACTGGCTGGTTGTCATTGCAGTCAGGGTTCTCCTCACTCTCTGGGGGATCCATACAGTCCACATGTCGCTGATACTTTGTTGCTCCTATACTCAGAGTCTCACCTGACGCTGCTGCTGAATTTCTGTTGAAGAACCTAGATGGAAGAGATTTAGGCTTCATGTTACCTGCTTGTTGCAGTTCTCAGGGATGTAATGAAAAAATGCCACTTTCCTCAGGAGGTTAGGTATGTTGTCAACAGACATTATGTGCATGAGTGGAAGTGCATTCCAGTGGACCGCCTTGTGTGGGAGATTTGGCACAGAGCCCTTAAAGGTGCAAATCCTTCCTCCTCACTAAACTGACCCTAATAGGTCTCAGGGTTTCAGGTTGAATGTTTTTATGCAGATGTAAATCAAATCAACTTTTAACCTACTATAAATGGAAGAATCTCTTTCTGTTTGTCTATTGATTTTCTCGATCAACGTTCATCCGACCGTCCTCAAATTTTACAGTTGCATCGCTGAGGATCCGAAGAAGTGCAGTGTCAAATGAGAAGTTATTTGGATGATGCTTTTGAGAAATCTGCAAGTTGGGTTAATGCAGGTCAAGCAATCAGCCCCATACCAGCATGCACATTTTGAATGGGCACTGCACTAGCGTACAGTAAATGTTACACACAATAGTCAGGTCCCCATATGGATATTAAAACAAGTTTTGCTGGCTGTAATTATTCTTAAGTGTAAGTGACAAAGTCCACACTCCTTTCTGTTTCCACAAATAACTTTTCCCTGTTAAGCTTCAGTGTAAGAATAGTAACAAAAATTTCGACGGACATTAAAAGTATGAAAGCTGGGGTGGGAAATGGATTCTATTTTGGGATATTTTTACTATTGTGATGTAAATAACCAGATGGAAATGGCTGCTTTTATCCAGTGCTATGGATTCAACACCTCTCAATCAAGGTGGCTTGTTCTAAGGTGATAATACAAGTAATAATCTCAGTGGTATATTTGTATAACACCTTAGAGCAATAAAGGAAGCCATCCTTTATTGCTCTAAGGGGTGTTGTTTTTTTACAATCTTGAAATGCACCTTCTCCCACTTCAGTGTCCTATATCTGGATCTGTCTGCTGTTGGACTGCACCTTTATTGTAAAAAACAAGTACTGGCATATGATTGGCTAACTTACAATTAAGAGCCATGTTTCCATGGTCAGCAACACCTTCCAACCAGTGGCATCAAATGACAAAAAAATAACTCAGAATTTGTGGTTTTCTAACAATGTTGTGGAGCAAGCAATGAGAAGGTAAAGGGTTTTTACAGATGGCACAGAATCTCAGCTCGGCTACAGGTCTGCATAGGTATGAATACAGGTATGAATTTTCTCAGCAAAATGTACTTGTTACTCAGGAAGCCATCCAAAAGGCAAACATTTTCTGATGGATTTAATGAACATAACTAGACTAGATAGCTTTGTGTAAGTGATGAATTTAGATGTCTATCTGACCAGTCATCTTTACTGTGTCCTGTGACATTTTGGTCAAAAAGAAAAGAAAAACATGAATTATAGCAATTTTATTTAGAAACACACAATGGAGAATCTAAATTATCATGCACTCAAGTCAAAAGTGGAAAAACTCTCCACTACAATCCAGCCTTAGTCCTGAAATATATTTCCATGCATAAAAAAAACTCACAACACTGCATGTGTCGACTAACTTGTTTGGTTTAATGAATAACACTTAACCAACATAACAGTTTTCATTTAAGCCATTTAAGTTATTTTGACAAAGGCTATAAAAATGCTTTCCCCCCTGTACAAACCCCTCAATCTAATTCAATTACATCTTACAAAACATTTAAAACGCTACCCCTGAAACACAGCTTGAACAGTTATACAGAAGTAAACTCTCTTCCGACTCCAGCCTGTCCTGGTACCATACTTATGGAGGGTCTTAGCACCTGCTGGTGGTCTCATCACCTCATTTGATGATAAATTCAGCTAGCAATACTACTGGTCCTCGTCTTGACCTCTTTGCGTGTTGTTTTGGCCCCGGTCAGGATCTTTCAGTCGCAGGATGCGGATGATTTCGCTCATGGGAAGATTACTGAGAAACAAAAAACAGGAGAAAAACAACAAAAATAACAATGTGGTTGTATCTTTGAGGTTAAGAGGAAACCATGCAGTGGACTAAAAATCACATTTATTAATCCTGAACAGATTAGTTTAGCATAACTCATTCACTAATTTAATATACAGTCACTAAGTCAATAAATCACTATCTGGGTGGTCAAACAGCTTTAATATACAAATATATAAACAAACTGATGCATCAGTGGTTACACACATGGTCTGTGGGGTGAGGAAAATGAATTGTCTGTAGCGTTGACCAGCAGCCACCTTCAGCATCATGTCCATTGAAATCCTCCTGTTCACCATGTCCTAATTGAACAAAACAAAACCCAAGGTTCATGTTATATTTTGATAAGTGAGGCTAAACACAGTGAGAGGACAGTTCTTCAATTGTCAAGGACCTTGCATATGAACTTTCTCATAACTTCCCCTTTAGAGATCATTTCACTCCACAGTTTAGGCATTTCATATCCAGACATACTTCACAATACCAATAAGAACAATCTCTGATTACCATGTAAACATCAAACTCGTCGAGGCAGCGGAAAGGCGCCTCTGTGATGGCCCAAAGAGAGAGCACAAAGCAAACAGTGGAGAAGGAGCGCTCGCCTCCAGACAGAGTGCGCATGTCGCTCAAGTGAGCCTTGTTTCCTTGGCCTGGCTGCACCTACACAGCAGTGGATGAGAAGTCAATGTTGTACAAGAAAGCTTTGTTGTCAGCATTTCACTTGACACCACCTGGTAAAAAGCTGTAGCTGTCATGTCTCATTTTATTATGAGTAGCAATAATTAATGAAAAAATTCAGTGTGCTGTAATTTAGACTTTAACTTTGCTGCTATATCGTTTAGTCGGTTTTCTAATAGCTGCCTCTCACAGTCCAGGTTACAAGTTCATTTGAACTGAACCCAGGAATGTGCATTCTGACCTTCAGTTCACTGGCGTTACACAATCCACCCAAAAAAACTTTTTTAATTTTTAGAGGGAAAATGAGGCTTAATGTGTTGTCCAACTAATGAAGCACATGTTCCTCTTACTGTGATGGAGAGGGTTTCATTCTTGTGGTCAAAGGTCATACTTCCAGTGTAGCCTCTCTGGGCCAGCATGCTGTCAAAGTAGTATTTACACCGGGCCGAGAGGAACCTAAGACAGCGAGAGATGCAGAGAAAAGGGATCAAATGGACGAGAAGGGAAGGGAGGGCATAACAAAAACAGAATAAACGGGGGGGGGGGGGGGTTTCAGCCAAGGGTTTATTTTTTTGATTTGACAACTTGCCTCCTGAGCTCAGCGTAAACCTGGAGTCTGTGGTTCATAACACTGTCGAGGCTTTTGATGAAGGTGTTGAGGTTCTTCATTTGCTGTGCAAGGTTTTTGTAGTTCTCCAGAGCTTCATGGTACTGCCTGGGGGGGGGGGGGTATCATCGTAGTGTCAATGAAAGGAAAACTTAGCTGCACTTCGATTATGACGCTACATGGTCATGGTTATTTTACTATCATTTATCACAGGGGTTGAGGTAACATACCTCACAACCTCCTCGCGGTCCCCCTGTTGTTCCCGCTGGGTAGAGATCTTAACCTTGAGACGGTTGATTTCACTATCGAGACTCCTGGCTGTCCGACGCACTTCTACGCGCTCAGGACAGATCTCTGTAGCCTTGGACACAGACGTCTGAACCCGAGAGCAAAGCAAACCATCAATTTCTGACACAAAACTACAAGGTGCAAAATCTACGGCATTAATAAATTGATGACTCCTGTCTCATGTCACCCCACACATCAACGTAAGGCATACCTGAAGTTCCTGATCCTTGCTGTCAAGGTTGGCTTTGAGGGTCTGGATGTTGCGAAGATGGGTGCTGCGCTTCTCGTCATAGTGTTTCTTGTGATGCTTGCACTTCATCACCTCCTGGTCAGCCTTACTCAGCTCCTCCTGTAGCAGGACAAGCAAAACAACAAATCACCACATATGCTAGTTGATGAAGTCTGGTCACATGCTCAAAGACTCCGATTTTAACTTTCTAACTCTTCTTCTTCCTCTAACTCCCTTCTAATTCCATAATGAGCACAATAAGACAACGGTGCTAATCTGAGTATTTCTTTAGATTGATCAGGTATTACATTACCTTGATCGAGTCAGCTTCCTCAGCGACAGTGTTGATCTGCTCTTTGTGCTGCTTGTACTCCCGCTCTGCCTTATCATAGGAGGCCTTAAGGTCGGCCATCTGAAGTCGTGCGTCGTCGCACTCAGTACGCTTGGACGAAAACTTGGAAACAATCTCCTGAAGATCCTCCTCCTGTAGTAGAGTGGTAACAAATCACAACTATTCAGATTTTTTTTTTAAATAACATTTGAATGCATTGTATTGTATTGATGTGTTCTGCACAAACCAGGGGCTTGAGGTCCTCTGACTGAGGCTCTTCCACATTCTGCAGGTCTGTCAGCTCCAGCTGTAGTTTCATGGCCTTATCCTAAATCAATTACACAAACGTCATTGGTGAATTCACCGTGTCAACATTTCATAATATCCCTGGTTCAGAGAGAGAGAGATGAATACTGATTTGTAAGAGGTAAAAATCTTTACTTTGGTAGTCTTCTGCTCTATGTGAGCTCTTCTCAGCAGCCCTTCATTCTGTTTGATGTCTTCATCTAATTTTCTCATCTGTTGCTCGAAGCGGTTTGCCTGAGCTTTCTGGTTCTCTATCTCCCTATGCAAATGCCTGAGAGGACGGAGAGTGAACAAGAGAGGGGATAACAGACGGAGTGACAGAGATAGAGAAGGTAGTAGGATAGAAGACAAGAGCACAGGTTTATACAACCACTCACTGTTGCAATACATATTCATTTTTTTTCAACTGTTTTATTGTTTCAAGATATACTCAGGATTGCTTGTATCAAACACGGTACCACCACACCACAATGTCAGCAGAGGGTGCCCCTGGTGGCCAGAGGTACCCAGGAGTGAAGTAATAAAGTCTTAACTTCAAATAGACACACACCTAATCTCCTCCTCAACATCTCCCGTGAGGTAGTTGGCTCTGGTCTGCTCAGCAGTGTAATTACGGTTATTGAAGATCTGGTCTCCCTCCTTAGAGAAAGCCTGGACACAGTTCTGAGGAGG